TATTGACAAAGTATTTAGAGCTTATGTAAATATGATAGATAAATAATAAATATATTCATATTCTTCGTAATATATGTATAAAAAGCTATCGTAGTATAATGAGGACAAATTCAGCTACTGAGCACTGTTGTGTGTGGGAAGTTGGGAAGATGGGTTATGAATAAGAATTTAATGCATATCTGTAAACAACGATCAACCATTATTGCTACCTAACGAAGAAGCGATTCTAAGCGGAGTTCAGTTGATATGATTGCTTTATCAACAATAGATATATGTAATATTATGGTAAAATAATTGCATTAAACATATGCATTAAACATTTTGTTGAATAATATTTGTTCAATATTGTAATTATTTTCCCGTCCTTCTAGTTTTCCTATGTTTTTCCCGGTTTTTCCCGATTATCGGGAAAACTTCTGAGAAAATCAAAAAATTATCTCTCCAGTCAAATTTCTTTTTAGAAAAAACGTTTCACTTGTAAATCGGAGTACTATTTTTTTGGTAGAAAAGTTATTCATAGTTAAAAAAAAAAGAAAATGATCAGTTAAAATAACGCAAAAATAAACATAATTGTAAAACCATAAGCTTCTTCGCTCCACTCAGAATCTAAAAGAGAAAATAATACATACCAGATACAGTAGTACAATACAGTACAATAGTCTCTATTTTAAGGAAAATTCGAAAAAAAAAAATGGCGTGAAGGAATATTAACTACCTATACAAAATTAGTATTTTTCTTTTTTCTACTCACGCTAAGCACGTAGGTATATGATTTAATGACAAATTATAAATTGTTTATATTGGTAAATATAATATGATTTTCGAAAATATCCACCCAAACAAAAAATTCCTCTAAAACGAGGACGCTCAGCTTTTGGCGATTAGGTGTGAATAATAATTTTATCGATACGGCCTCTGCCGTCGTCGTTATATTTGCACAGCCGCGGCCACGGGAAACATTTATCATCTTCATTAAAATAGTATAGTTATGTAATTGTATTATTATTAAAAAACAAACCAACCATACGCCCGCAGAACTCCGCATACCGTAACGCGGTATGCGGTATTGTGTCATCAGTAAAAATATTAAACGTCAAACAATAAACGCGTATGTACCACGTATGTGACATTAATAAATATCCGCATAAAAATGTCGAGTATTAATGTATTACATACACAAAAAATAATAACTTTTCGCCAAACAGTATACTAATTCATTGCAAGTAATAAATACTAAAAAAAAAAACCTGATCTTGGGCCGGGTGTGGCCACTGTTTTAGACTCTAAAGCAATGTCGGTTTGGCTCATGATTGGGCCCCCGTAAAATATTTACAATGAGCTTCTAATCAACAAAATATAGCAGCCAAATTCAATAACTATCAACTAAAAAAAACAATTTTCTCGCTTCGCTCGTATTCTCCTAGAATTGTTAGTAATATTAATTAGATTTAATACACGAATTACATTGTTTTATATTCATTTTTTCATTTTGTAGTGAAACCACATGTATGTATTAAGTATGTAATGTAGATTTACTAAATTCGGTTAAACTACTGAACGAGGTGTGTATCACATCAACGCTCATATGCATCATATTATATTGATCAAGTTAATTTAGTTTTAATATACATATATCACGATTAGGTATATTTCTGAGTAAAATTGCAACAATATATTAATTATTCGGTAAAATCTATTTGTTTTTTCAACGTCATTAACTGTATAAAATAAACTATACAAAAAGTTTTAGTAAAAAATTATGTGGAACTAATCAATAGTTATTGATCCATACAAACTACTTCAACAAATATTTATTTTACTAAATGATGACATATATATTGTTGAAAAAGCGATACTATTAACCCAGCTCCGCTCAGAATCGTTTTTTGTGAGCTATTTTTAATCGTTGCGTACAGATATACATTAAATTCCTCTCATTATCCTACCATCACAAATTCTCATCTACAATAGTGTCCCATCAATCGTACGAAGTATGTCCGTCTTTTTTTCTTTTTTTTTTTTCAAAGTAATTGAAAAATAATTAATAAAATTTCTGCTAACAATGTGATACCATAGGGCCTATATTTTAAGTATAAAACTCAGGGCCCCCAGCGATTGTCGGGTATCCGAGTGGACCGACACTGGTAGTGGGGTAGATGTTACCAACGATAAACCATTGGTAACGAAAAACGATTCGGAACGAAGTTCGGTTATACATGTTTTGAAAGGCCGTAATATTTGCGATATCCGTTAAAATTTGATTTTAAAACCTAAACAAAAATATATATACTACTGTAGTAATACAAAAACTAGAAAATTTAAAACATTTAGTTAGACACTATATGTAGTAATGAAAGACAAAGAAATTTAAAATAATAAGCTACTATATAGATGTATCTACAAAGAAAAAGATAGAAGTAGTTATAAAAATGTACCCATAAAATAATTGGTTTAGTTTTTAGTACAACAAATAATGATTTATTTTTAAATATAATACAATTTCAGCCTAGTTATTATATTACTACCTTCTTTTCGATGTTTGAAGGGTGTATGGGTCGTGAATCCGAGAATGATTGACGAGATTAACAAATAATGAGAAATATAATTATTTTACCTGCCCACGGTGATAGAACGCTAGAGTGTATACCTGTAGATATCCTCGCGTGATCGTGCGCACTCAGATAAAAAAATGCTACTCATTAAATTAGGAAAACAAAAGGTGGAATTATAAAATAAATTATTAAATAAATCAAACACGAGTGATTATAGCTGCTAAAAGTCGGAGCTAGGTAGCCGAGAGAGATTTTCGAAAGAAGTTGGTGGAGCGTAGTTGTTACTGCGTGCAGGGTTCTCGACAGAGTGATCGTCTTGGGATTCTTCAAGCGGTCAAAACGCTCGATCGTCAATTAAATAAAGGAACCGTTAGATTTTATATGTTTAAATAAACAAAAAATAAAAAGAGTCATCCATATAGGAAAAATGTTGTTATATGTTTATTTTAAATTTGTATAGAAATAATTATAAGGGTATCTAGTGCGGGAGAATGATTACGGCACAGCGATGTTGTCAAAGGGTCGGTTCATGTTGAGCGCCCATTGTTTATTTTTATTTGACTCACATTAAAATGTTTCTAAAGAAAGTAATAAATCGGTTATGGATTCTTCTCAAATGATGCAAGAAAAACCGTTAAAATTTATGGGCTTAAAAGACGGACTATATGGTCTTCGTTTCGGTGTCGATATAAAATAACTATTAACCGAATTATAAGAATAAGATGTACAGTAGCATGACTGAAACGAATGACCCTCTCGAATAGCGAAGGATCCGTTATGTTTATTAAATTATTTACATTTTGTAAAATACCAAGTACTCGGCCGTATTTGAATCTTTTAGTTACATTTTTATAATAATATAATTGATAAATAATTGTACATGGATAAACTTATGTTGTGTGAGCATAACATCACAGTTATATAGGTAGTTAAAAGTTGGAATTTTGAAGCAAAGTTGCTGTGTGGCGCAATAAGTCATCTTTCCCAAGAGCTAAATCCCTTCTCATGCTGGAAATTATATCACATATTTCTAATGTAGATATTTCGGTAAATAGAGAGATTGATTGGGATGTGAATTTGACGTCATGGGATCTGTAAATCGATAATATTCCGTAATTCATTTTATTGAATGTAGTATTGTAAATAAGTATTTTGCATCAGTAATTTCCAAATTTAAAATGGTGTGTGGTATAATATTATTTCGAATAAAGACAACTATATTATCAGATTTTTGTACATTGGAATTTGTAATTGTATTATTAGTATTATAGGGAAAAAACAAATTAATTTTGTTTCTACAAATAAAATTGAGTATTATGTAATGTTATGCTCACACAGCATAAGTTTATCCATGTACAATTATTTATCATTTATATTATTATAACAGTGTAACTAAAAAAATTCAAATACGGCCGAGTACTTGGTTTTTTAAAAAATGCAAATAATTTAATAAACATAACGAAGCGTTCTCTATTCAAGAGGGATACATACAATTTTATCTACAAGCAAAGTAATTTAAAATGTGTCAAATATAGTAAATATACACGCCATATGCTGTGGCTCTTTGAGGCCACTGTCGTTTCAGTCATACTATATATGTATACCTTGTTCTTATAATTCGATTATTAGTTATTTTATATCGACACTAACGCGAAGGCCATATGGTCCGTCTTTATAAGCCCATAAATTCTAACGGTTTTTTTAACGAGATATTTATTTATCCGGTAGATACAATTAAATATCTTAACTTCAATATAATAACCAATGATACAAAACTGGTTACACCTTTTCGATGAAAATTTTGAAATTTGAAGCTATTAATTAATACTGATATAAATATTGCTAAATATTTCTCCAAGACCGGCGTCTATACGACAGAGTTGGGGGGTACGTTAAATTAGTACCTCAGAAAATTTTATATGTAAAATCACTGCTTCCGAATCAAAAATCTAAAAAAT